TTGTGATTTGCGTTGCCATTGATCTTACCTAATTAATGCATTACATAATAAAACTTGATCACTAATCTGCTAACACTGGCCGACTGAGGGCGTATTTTTCTATCCGTATTATCACTTCATGAATATTAATTTTAATAATTAACACAAACAATTAAAATAAAAAATGGTTTATAAATTGAACTAAAAGGGAAACCATACAAGCGAAAAACACGTACTTTTCAAATTTTAATGCATTTTCAGGAAGCCTGGGTAATTTTGGGCAATTTTTGCTGAATCGTGGGTAATTTCGACCCAGTCATTAGGTATATCAAAAATTGTGAGTGGTCACACTGGCCTCGCCGCTGTTAGGTCTTGGCTTTAAAAACTACTTACCAGAAAAGTTGGTGATAGCTATTGATATACCAGCAACGAATGTTATATACCCGTCAGTGCTACCTATCGAATCTGCAATTACTGCATTCAATACGCCCAAGGTGACATAAGTCATACCAATCATGAAGTTTAGAAATCCATTGTTGATGAGGCAGAGAATTTTAGCTGTATGTGATAAGTTGCAGTGCGGTAAACGGACATTTTCCATCTCTAGGCCCACTAAGCAAATTTCTTCCAAACTTGATGTACAAGGGTGGAGAAACGCGGATATCTGTGATAAATTGATGTTAAGTGGTTTTTTTTCCCGAAAACATGGTACTAGGCCTATGGTCTAGTTTTTTGTTCCGTCTAAAACACGGCCAAGTTTACTTTAAAAACGCATCTAAAATAAGTAGAGAATTTGTCGTTTGTTGTAAAGCCTTGTGATACTGTAAAAAAGTATATTAAGAATATTTTCGTATTCCTTACTATACTGTTACTGTACTATATATGATCAACGCTGGCCTATTACCTTGAAAAACATTAAGGGACTTTGGTACACCTCTAAATGATATTCAGTATGCCTAGTTCAGGTGGATAAACCCGGCTCAACTCACCGGGTTTATCCACCTGCCAGTCTGAACGTAGCCTAAGCCTACTTCGCTTCCCGAAACAGCGTTCACCAGCTGATGCCCTTGCTCTTATAAGCTTTGTCCACACTACAAACTTTAATGTGATGACCATATATAGGCACATCATGACCATATATAGGAACATCATGACCATATATAGGCACATCATGACCAAATATAGAAACATCATGACCATATATAGGCATATCATGACCATATATGGGCACTTGACTCAACATCCTAACATTAAAGACACAATTGCTTAACATTGTCAATGGAAAATCGGGAATTTTCATCTGTTCATTTCATCTTTATTTCGGAATTGCATATCTATATAGATACACACACACACACACACCCACACACACACACCCACAAAATCAAGCTAGCACTGTAGTGTAGCTTGTTTAAAATAACCGCAATGTATTATTGTAGCACATGCGTAGCGAGTTAAAACGAGCGAGGGAAAATTACACATATTAATAAAAAAAGATTTAAATAGTAGACGCTTCACATTGTCAGAACAACCACTAATGTTCTTGACAGAGTATTCACCTTTATGTATCTGTACTGGCGTTCAATATCCAGATCATCGTTAGGCATATTAGTAATTATATACCCAAGATAATTAACATTATCACAATAAATAAGTAAACATTAATTAAAATGTGTGACTGGCGGACCATGCAATTTACGTATTCTTAGACAAAAATAAAAACATACATACTGAATTTTTAGTGTTGTAAATGACATCATGATCTTCAGCAAAACACTCACAAATATCAACAAAATGCTGTAAACTAGAAAAAGAATGAGCTTTGCATTATTGAGACATACATTTAAATCATCAATATAAATATTATCAAGAATGGGTGACATGATCCGCCCTGATGGTATTGTTCAACAATTCATTTTGTTGGTACTTTTGAAAAAAAAAATAAAAATTTTTATATTATAAATTCAGCTTTCGCGCCTTGCTTTTATTAGAATCATTAATTTTATGCATTGGGCTTCATTTTTACGAAAAATGGCATGGCAAGTGTGCTGCCAAAACGTATGTGGAATGTTGTTACCGAAGATATTGTCAAAATACAGAGTAGATGTAAGTTTAATACACACTGCCGTCTGTATAGGTCTGTTATATTTACATAGAATGTATAAATATAACAATTACACTGCTGTCTGTATAATTATTTACAAAGTGTATATTACATTTACACATCCTCAGTATTCAATTGAGTTGCATTGCCTTTTTCTGTAAAATATAATAATTAAAAAAAAAAAAAAAAAAAAAATTTTATTTTTACAGTTTACGGTATGGGTTGTGCAGAAAACGCAAGACGGTCACGGCAGAGTAGGGAACCTGGTCTACGTTCACGGCGCAAATAACCAGTAACCAGTGTCTTGGTCGTTTTATCAACAAAACTTAACCCTCTCCCCTTCTTACCATACCACCAACATTAACAGTAATTCACTGAAAAAAACCCTCGAAGCCTCTGCTATCAAAAAAAGCCAAATATTGTACCTGTCTCTTATACACATCTAGATGTGTATAAGAGACAGCCTTGTAGTTATTAATATTTTGGTTATAATAGAAAATTTTTATTTTTTGGTGACGTCACACTCACGCTAAAGTTAGCATGTATACGTCATAAGCTAGATTACGTCACCTTTTCCTGGTAAAGCAAACTTTCCCGGCGTGCTTTTTTCATGGATAAACGAACACCACTCCTTGGCACTGAGTACCTTGTCTAGCTATGGCTACACGAGCCGCATAGTTAGCATATAATACTTAAACAAGGTACGTCTGCAACTGAATTATTCTTAGCCCTAGTTAATTTTTTTTCTTATTTTAATTTATTTCTTTCGAAAGTGTACTTTCTATCACATAAAATTGCACTGTCTACTTAGGCCTAGGCCTAGTCATATTATGCTTCATCGTCCCCTGCTATACACAGTACATCAGTAGGCTAACCCCCACCCCCCACGCTACAGTACATACAGACGTTTGCTAGGCAACAGAACGTGATTGCACCTTTCTTACCAGGTATTCATGTAAATTTGCATAGGCCTATTGTTAGCTAACCAGCTGAGTGTATTCCTTTGTGAAAATGAGTACCGCGGGCCGCCGCGTACTCATTTTCACAAAGCATTTGCATCCCCTCTTGAAAAGAGGGAACTTCGTAATAGTTGTCACCATATCTTCGCTCATTAATCACCGTATTAGCTTACATTTATGCTTGGAGAGAGCACTTAAAATGTACAATAATCATTTTACTACCCGACAAACCCCGAACTTTATTCATGCATTACATAAATAGTTTCATCTTGCTGTACTCCAACATCACTTGCGCATGGTAACAACCAACTGGCAGACCATTTCCAGTCATACATTACTCTCCATAACGCAACACCCCTTGTTCCGTGTCATCTGGATATATAATGGACGATCGTCACAGGAATGGAACTATCCAGACTGTCAATCAAACTTAACAACTGACCAATCAGAAGACGGCCTGTATAACAAGCAGACGTGTTGTCCACAAACGCACATTTTTGCGTATGTTTTTTACAGATAGATAGATAATTATTAGATATTCTTTATCGATATTCACCTTAACATATAGGTATAATCAAGACAGAAAGACAAACAATAGAATTAAATAATAAAGCAAAAACCACACATAAAGTGTATATATAATTACAAGATCCGTAAAGTAAACCATTAGCAATCGTTTTCTTAACAACAATATACAAGAAGTGAGGCTTAGCGGCAAGGTCCTATGAACTCAGGGCCCAGGGATTGGAACACAAACATATTAATCGCCAAGATGCATGTCCGCTTTAATACAATTTACTTGTTTGCCACAAATTGAAGCATTACACAATCGAGAAACACAATAACTTGCGGGATACTGATGATAATTCAATGTTAAGTTCTCTGAATTCCACACGGCTTCTACACTGCCCTCCGGGCTGATGCAGGAATTCCATGGGATGTGATCGCGCACGCGTAAACCAGTCGTGTTCGTTCGTGTGTGACAACCAGACGAAGTTTTACTTTCTCTGAAAAATTTTCGAAGCTATAATCACAAAAGCTAGGTACACTTTATTATTCTGACCGCCTTCTGAATTATATTTGATCATAGATAGGCCTAGAGCATAGTATAGGGTCTGTCTCTTATACACATCTAGATGTGTATAAGAGACAGCTTCAGAGCACCATTTAAATCTCTTGGGTCATCGATCTGTCTCTTATACACATCTAGATGTGTATAAGAGACAGGGTAGATATAGAGTTTACGATGGTTTAGATTTGGAAGAGGATGTAGATCTGTCTCTTATACACATCTAGATGTGTATAAGAGACAGGATATGGAGTATCGATACGTACGACATACGAAACGTCATGATCAAACCGCAACAACCCGTCTTGTATTTTTTACAAGGCGTACCGAGGAGTTTTGTACGAGAAGAATTGTTGGTCGTTCCCATCGACACGCAATTACCGCCTAAATGAAAAATGGATTAAGGGAAAAACACGTTGTAATAAAAATGACGCAAAATTCTTGCCGTTATCTCAGGATGGGTTCGACCGAATTGTGCGGAAAAGCAACGTTGAAGCATCAAGACTCGCTACCCGAGCATCTACGCGGATATTGCCGCGACCACAAGTTTAAAATCGTGCGAGGAGGGGGTACGGTTTCGTGTGAAAGATGCGGTAGGGGTTGCAAGACTATACTGCACAATATCTGCTATAGATGCGGTGGGCAAGTTGTAAGCAACGCGATACTCTTGAAGCGTCGATCGCCCAGTCGAAGGCCCGAGGGCGACGATGAAGACGGTTGTCGTTATCTCAAGATGGGTTCGACGCAACTGTGCCGCAGGATTATCCGTCGAGATCAAGACTCGCTACCCGATCATCTAAAGGGGTATTGCGCCTACCACAAGTATAGGATGATGCACGGTAGCAGGATATCCCCGTGTTACGTGTGCGGCGTGGGATGCAAGGCTACGATCGACGGCGTGTGTAAAAGGTGTGCGACTAGGTGAATTGTAAAATACGTTTGTATTTTGTAATCTGACGTACGCCCTCTATCGAGGTAGTTTACAAAATTCAATTCTGACTTAAGAGGCCGGATTATTTAATTAAAATGAACAACCAGAACAATCAAGTACGTGATGGCCACGGCCACAACCATCGAGATGGTCGCGAGAATCGAGAGCAGTGGGAACAGAGGCAACGCGAGAAACGAGAGCGGTGGGAATTCGAGGACCGGGAATACGAAAAGAGGCAACGCGAGAAACGAGAGAAGTGGGAACTCGAGGACCGGGAATACGAAAAGAGGCAACGCGAGAAACGAGAGCGGTGGGAACTCGAGGACCGGGAAAACGAGCAGAGGCAACGCGAGAAACGAGAGCAGTGGGAACGCAAGCAACGCGAGAAACGAGAGCAGTGGGAACTCGAGGACCGGGAAGACGAGCAGAGACAACGCGAGAAACGAGCGAAACGTGAAAAACGCAAGCAGCGAAAACAACAACAAGCTTTAAATCCTAGTGGTGAAATGCAACAAAGGGCAGAACGTGAATTGGAACCCTTAGACGATCAACCAGGATTTCGTCGTATTCACGCGAGTGATAC